AATTGTTCAACTTTAAATTTGAGATTTTTTTCGTTGTTTCAAAATTAAAAACTTAGATTACTAATCGAAAAAATTGGATTTTCAATCTTTCAAAGAAAAATTGTTTTCTTAAAAAATTTTTATTATTGCTTAAAAACGCATTTGTTAATAAACAATTATTTTCACCCACGTCTAATTAATATTAAGGAACTATTTTTTTTAAATTATTATTTATATCAACGATTGAAGTTGCATAAAAAATTTTTAAATTATCTTATAAACAACGCATTTGTTTATAACAATTTATTAAACAATAAGAGATAAAAATTTTAATAAATTATTTTTATGCAACTTCTGGTAATATAGAAACGGATTATTAATAAGAATTTGAAAAAAAATTTTTTTCGACTATTAATAGTCGACTATTAATAGATTAATCTAAGTTTTTAATTTTGCAACAACGAAAATTATCAATGAAAAACTGAAAAATAAAAATTTTTTAATGTTTTCAACGGTGATCTATTCTGAAGGCTTCCAAGAATTACTTCAAAAGAGGAAAAAAAATCTCAAATTTATGGTTTAACAATTATCACACTTGCAATATTCATGTTCCTGTTCAATCAGAAAAAACTTATTAATTAACTATTGCATATAGAACTAATTAAAAAATTGTGTTCATTTCTCGATCGAACTATCTAGTAAGCCCTTAAATTTTTTAATTTCTTAAATTTTATATTTAATATGATAAAATAATTTTTAATAATAAAGTATCCAAGGTAGGCGTGGCTTTTACGCAAGCCAGAGAACCCGTTTTCGGCTTTATTTTCATCCTTCTGGAAAAATTATAAACATTGGTCCTACAATTTCGGGAGTCAAAACTTTTTTTAAGGATATTTCCTGCTAATTTGAATATTTTAAAAAACTTTTCAAATCTTTATTACTATTGCAATTTTTGCAAGCGGAACTTAATTACCCGATGAAAAAAGATTTTGTCTAATCATATATAATCATGCTATATCGTCTATATATGATCAGATCCAAAAATTGGCCAGGTCTGATCATACATGACTTGATCTGTTTATATATGAACAGACATGTTTATATATGATCATGTATAATCATACATGATCAGATCCAAAAAATGTCCAGATCTAATCATATCTAACTATATCTCGTGAAAAAATATTCTGATCAGACTTAATATAAACATTGGAAATATCAGACTTTATCAGGGTTGATATGGCCATGTCAAGATGTTGACAAACCTGAAGCCTAAATAAAATTGATGAATAAATTTACATTTATAATAAAGTTGATACAACATTTATTTTAGTTGTCTTTACAACTTTCTTCAAAAACAGATAAACTCATTAATAGAGTACCAAAATTTTTTTTTTTCAGATTTCAGAAAATTTTTATTGATATAATAAGGCGTTACAATGTTTTTTTTTTAATGGTATAATTAACCATTATTACATTATTACATATAATTTATTATTTTTTATTTACAATCCTGTCCATTGGACTTGGCTAGTATATGATATCAATACAATCTAATTTTAATATGGTACTTGCAATATAGTTTAGTTTGTTTTTAGGGAAAAAGTTGCAAAAAACCTAATAAGATATATTTATATTTATGTTACTTATATCTACTTACATCTACTATCACATTATACTTAGACTAGTTACATTTGTTAATGACTATTTGCTGAGGTACTTTATATTTTAGCCAGGGGTTTTTATCCCTGATAATACAAGTGTTTGATAATATTTCTAACGTATTGAGTTTATTTGTATAGAAGTTTATTGATTGTGTGTGTATTATATGTTTAAGCTCTTGGATTTTCAATGATTCATGTATATCTTTTATTCTAGTTCTCGGTTTGGCATTAATTATCATTTTAAGGCATTTATTTTGTATTATTTGTAGGCGCTTATAGTTTGTCTTACTCGTGTTACTCCAAATAGGACAGGCATAAAGGAAGATAGGTCGTATGCACATATTATATATTGTCAACTTATTTTTGATAGATACTTGACTGTTGCGATTTAGTAAATGATATAGCATAGAGATCGCTATGTTTGCTTTGTTGACAATTGTTTTTATATGATCGTTAAATGTTAACTTATTATCTAATGTGAGACCCAAATATTTGGCTTTATTTGTAGTTTCAAGTATTTGCTCGTTCATTTGTAGTGTTGCAATTGTGTTCTTATTTTTGTGTGAACATATCATTAATTCGGTCTTATCAACGTTGATTTTTATTTTCCAATTATCGTAATATTTTTCAAGTATAATTATATGATTTTGTAATTCGCGTATTAATATATCTTTGCTGAAGGATGATGCTAGTATAGCTGTATCGTCCGCAAATAAAGCGATTTTAGTTGTTGCATATTTTGGAATATCATTAATGTACAGTAAAAACAGTAGTGGCCCAAGGATAGATCCTTGTGATACTCCGGCTGTTATTTTACGAGGTGTACTATATTCATTTCCAATTGCTACCACAAATGAACGGGCTTTAAGATAGTCCTTTACAAATTTTATTATATACATAGGTAAATCATACATTAAGAGTTTGTGTATTAATGCTTTATGCCATACAGTATCGAATGCCTTTTCAATATCTAATAATAATAAGCCAGAGCTTCGATTCTTGTTAAAATTATCAGCAATATAATCGGTTACACGGGCTAGTTGTTGGATTGTACTATGTTTATTTCTGAATCCAAATTGTTCAGCTAATAGAATATTACTTTGATCTAGGTGACATCTGACACGTTTGTTTACAATTACCTATAGTTCGGTAATTTTGCGGGAATAGCTTGTTTTTACCTGGTTTGTGAAACGGCAATATTTTTGCACGTTTCCATTCTTGTGGAAAGTATGATTTTAATATGCATGCATTAAATATATACATAATTTGTACTATAGCCTTTTTGGTAAAATGTTTTAGTATTATATTTTGTATCTGATCAAGGCCCGGGGCTTTTTTTGCTTTGAGCGTTTTAATAGCTTTTCTTATTTCATTAGGTATGATACGTGGGATTTCGGTTATGGACATATTATGGGAATTTACAATATTGTAGGATTTGTTGACTATTTTTTCTATTCTGTAATTACTCATATTGGCTGTCAAGTTATGCGTGTCCTCGAAAACATCGGCGATCGCTTGAGCTTTTGATTTATTGTCATATACTAATCCGGATTTTGAATGTAATGTAGGTATGTTATTAGATTTACTTTTACTCATTTTTACTGCGTTCCATAACGATTGGTCTTTTATATTTAGCGCTTTTAATTTGTTGTTTACTATTTCATTGTGATAGTTTTTTATAGCTAGTCGTGTACTGTGAACTAAACTATTATATATATTTTTATCTTGTTTATCAAGCGATCGACGATATTTCCTACGATAATAATTGCGTATTTTTATCATTTGACTAATGTTTTTTGGTAATTTATCTGTTTGATTATTTAATGTCTTAAATGGTATGGTTTCGTGAATGGTTTTTTGCACTTGTTTGGTAAAGTCTGCTACTGCCATATCAACATCTTCTATGGAATGCAATTTATTATTAATTTTTATGTTGGTATTTAACTCGGATTTAAATTTATTCCAGTTTACTCTGGTGTACACTGGAATTCGTTTAATTTCTTGTGAGTAATCACATTTATTAATAATTACTTGTATGGGATTATGGTCTGAGTCAAGCTCATCTAAAATTTTTGGTTTACTGATATTTACATTTTTAATTAATGCTATGTCGATTGTTGAAGCTAATGTATTATTAATAGGAATGCGTGTCGGGCCGTCGGGGTATTGTATACTTATCTGATTATTTTGTAAGAATTTAAACAAAATTTTCCCACTGTTATTCGAATTTTTACAATGCCACAGTGAATGTTTGGAGTTTAAGTCCCCAATTAGTAGAATTTTATTATTTAGTTTGAAAATGTTAGTTAAGTCGTTTTTACTTAAGGTTGTGTTGGGCGGATTGTAACACGTAATGAGTAGTATGTTTCCCGGTAGCATGACACCATGTGCTTCGAGTGATGTAACTCTTATTGGCACTTCATGGTGCGGAATTGTATTTTTAATAAAGATAGCAACACCGCCGGCGGCCGTATTACTGATTCTGTCATTCCTATAGCACACGTAATTTTTTAAATAGTAATGCATACTTGGTTTAAGTTTTGTTTCATTTATTAGAAGTGCATCGATGTGATACTGGTTAAGAAAATGGTTAAGTTCCCGTTCTTTACCTTTGATGCTATTTGCATTCCATGAGACTATGTTGATATGTTTAGTCTTATGGCCTTGTGTCATGATTATCATTTACATTAGTATATTCACTTAAGTATTGGCTAATTGTCATAATTCTAGAAACGTCATCGGTACAATTTTGAAGTTTAATATTTAAGTTACTAACGATATGAAATAGTTTACTGATATTACAAATTTTATTTAATTTACTTATTTCGCTTAGTAAATTATTAAATTCTATAACCTTACTTGTTTCGGTATTATGACTATTCGGTAATTTATTGTTACTTGCATTTATGCGGCCTTGTAGGGATGACGCTGCGCTGCTGTACTGAAGGTCCTTGTTATGATGCGTGTCCTTGAGTTGATTATCTCGATGTTGATATGTGTGCACGTTTGTGTCGTTTGATGACCATATTTTTTGTGTCGGTAAATCCGGTTGGGTATTCCTTGGTTTATTTAGCATTGGAAAATTGTGCTGTTCGATCCTGTAGGCTTTCGGCTGTTTGGTGGCTTGGCGTTGTATTCTAGCTTGTTCTATTTTGTTTACGTAGTCCAAATATACAGGATATTTTCTGTGGTTTGCTGGATGGTTTCCTTTGCAGTTGGCACACGCCGGCTGGGTATTCTCAAGTTTCTCACATTTTTCTGTTAAATGTGGTAGGAGACATTTTACGCACTTAGATGGATTTGTGCAATTTCTCTGGCCATGTCCGAATTCTTGACATCTATAGCATTGTGTAACCATTCGTGAGTTTTTATATTTTTCCCATGTAATTTTAAAGTTTAGGACTACTTTAATTTTCAGTATCTTGTGTAGCTCTTGTTGATCTGTTAATGTTATCATGTATAATGGTAATTTTATGTGTGTGCTTTGATCTGTAGCTTTAGACTTCATTTGTATCACTCGTTTGGTTGAAATATCTTTGTTTTTTAGTTCATCTTCCAAGTCACTTAGTTTTACTAACGGTAACCCTCGCAGTACTAGATGTTTGGGTTTATCTTCTTCCATGGTAAATGTATAGTAGTGGATGTCAAGTTTCTTGAATAACTGGTTCACTTTATGATGGTCTTCTTTGGTATTTGTATAGACACTCATTTTTTTTATGTACTTAAACGTAACTTCACTGGCACATTCTTTTTTTATTTGTGTAACAAATTTATTTATATCCGCTATGGATGTATTGATAACAATAGGTGGTATTCTCATTATAGGTGTATTCTGTTTTTTTTGTTCTGGTGTTCTCCTTGTTGGCTGATGTTGATAGTGCTCTCTGTGCTTTTTGATGTATCATCTGTAAAGCTATACCTTGGTCGTTTCTTCGATTTCGTGGTCCAACCATTTGGATCGTCCGGTGGTTCTTCGCAGTCCATCCAGGTAGCGTCCTTTCGCTCAATCTCCCGAGTTGTAATAGGCACAATTGTTGAGAATAAACTGTCAGTCCTCCTTGTCTCCCGTACCAAAATTCTACTCTTTTCGGAACTTAACACGTCAAAGTCAAGTATCTAGAAAGGAACAGTTCTGCGGATATGCGCCATCTATCGAAGACTTTTAATACTAGTTTCGACAGTGATTGTTCCATGGTGATGTCTTTTATTTGTAACTAATTAAAATGTTGTCAGATTTATAAATATTTTATTGATTATTTTAATATTTCCAAAGTTCTCAAATAATTTTAATACTCCATGAATGAATAACTAAAAATTACGTTTCATGATAAATTGATAAATCATACACATAAGATTTTTTCATTTGGCATAAAATTGCATGAAAAAGAATAATAATATCAATTTCATATTGTATTTAAAAAATAAAAAAAAAATTTACTTTTTGTAAATTTTAAACCGGATAAAACACGGTAACCGATTGGTTCTACAACAGTAATTTTTTTTTTAAGTTTTTTAAAAATGTAGAGTAATTTGAAAAATATGTAAAATTTATTTATTTTCATTTAATTAATAAAAAAACTAATTTTTTATAATAAAAAATAATATTTATAAATATTAAATAAATAAATATAAAAATAATATTTATAATAAAAAATTCTAAAATATTAATTTCTCAATTAAAAAAATTTTTTGTGAAAAAATTGAAAAGTAAAATAATTAATTGAAAAGTTCTTGAGCAACTTTGAAGATTTTTTTTTAAATTCACACATTTTACCTTTTTATAATTTATACTTTGTCAAACATATTATTAAAATGATCAAATAACTGCTTAATAGTCTAATTTATAAATAATCACAATAAATATAAACAATGAACCAGAGTTAGAACGATTAATTTTTACAGTAACAATATTTCCGTAGATGGAAAAATTCATTTTCAACACATCTCGCCTGCGATCCATATTTATTTATCCTGCTAACATGTGATATCTGTAACAAAATAATAATTATCTATACTTATTATTAAGAGAATAAGAAAAATTTTGTTTCCAGGATAGTTATATGATAAAATCGGTTTTTTTTTAGTGAAATTTAGTGTCATTGCAAAGGTCGCCCGATGAAAAAAGTTTTTGTCTAATTATATATGATCATATATAATTAGACAAAAACTTTTTTCATCGGGCGACCTTTGCAATGACACTAAATTTCACTAAAAAAAAACCGATTTTATCATATAACTATCCTGGAAACAAAATTTTTCTTATTCTCTTAATAATAAGTATAGATAATTATTATTTTGTTACAGATATCACATGTTAGCAGGATAAATAAATATGGATCGCAGGCGAGATGTGTTGAAAATGAATTTTTCCATCTACGGAAATATTGTTACTGTAAAAATTAATCGTTCTAACTCTGGTTCATTGTTTATATTTATTGTGATTATTTATAAATTAGACTATTAAGCAGTTATTTGATCATTTTAATAATATGTTTGACAAATAAATTATGGCGAAAAAAATGAGAAAACAAATTGACATGTAGAAATTAAAAAAAAAATGAAAAATGCAGTTTTTAAAAATAATTTTTCGGAACAAATTTGTTTGTTAAATAAAATTAAAAAATTGTCAAGTGACTGCTAACTTCAATGTCATATTAGACTGAATGCATTTTCTGGATACAAAAGTCATTTGGAGTTTGTATAAAAAGTTTTAGAAGTAATTAATGAAATGAAAGAGAAATCTGGTGGAGTTGATAACATACATAGTAAAGTAATTAAGTGTATTGCCAAAGATATTAGTTTACCTTTAGAGTATATCTTTAATTTATGTATTAGTAGAGCAATCTGGCCTAATGCTCTTAAAAAAGCTGATATTATCCCTATTCATAAATCTGGCAATAAATACCTAGCAACTAATTACAGGCCAATATCACTAATATCTAATTTAGCTAAAATATTTGAAAAAATAATTTATGTAAGATTGTATGAATTTTCTATTGGTAATAACTTGATATCAGACAAACAATTTGGTTTTATGAAGAATAGAGGTACAGATGATGCTCTCGCCTTTACCTCTAGTTTTATATATGATAATTTAGACAAAAATCGTGCATCTGTACTGGTTTTCCTAGATCTAGCAAAGGCTTTTGATACAGTTAATCATAAAATCTTGCTTGATAAATTGTGGAGCAAAGGAATCAGAGGTCTACCTCATAAATTGATTGTTAATTATCTATCAGGTAGAGAGCAATGTGTTAAATTGAATAATTGTACTAGTGATTATAGAATTGTAAAAATTGGTGTTCCCCAAGGTACCATCTTGGGACCACTTCTCTTTATTATGTACATAGATGATATTTTTAATATTCTGCCTCCTGATGCTCTTGTATCATATGCTGATGACACAGTAGTACTGTGTAGTGGATCTAATTGGTTAGTAGTATCTAATTGTTTGTCTGATTGGTTGAATAAGCTAGATCAATGGTTAATAGTCAATCAGTTAACGCTAAATGTTGATAAATCGACATTTATTACCTTTGGTTGTTACACTGACAGTGTGCCTACAAATTTTCATTTGTACATTAAAGATAGAGAGTTGAAAAGAGTTTAAAGTTGTAAATATCTGGGAGTAGTTTTTGATACTATGATACAGTATTTTCTATAGTAGTGAACCGAATATAGCATCATCTGACGTAAAATTTGTATCACTTTTTTTTCCGTGTACACAAACATTTTTACACTTTACACAATGACGAAAAGTTTTTTACTGTGTATATGTTAATAATAAAAATATAATTTTCCAATTTTTATCTAGAATCATGTGTCAATCATAAATGTATTATATTTTTCTGGTGTCTATGCACAGGTGCTTATTGCACCTCTATAGAATTGCTTTACCAGAAGTAAATAAATAAATAAATTCTTCGACTGACGTTATGATAAAACGGAAAAAAAAAAAAAAAAAAAAAAAAAAAAATTAGAAGACAATACACGTATGTACGTTTGGGTGCCAACTACACCAGTATTAATTTCATTTGTAAATAATTTATGAATGAAAAAATTTCACTGAAATCTCATCACTTTATATTAATATTTAATATATTTACTTATTAATTGTCAAATATTTAAATGTAAATTTTATTGTAACATAATTTAAAAGCGTGAGCTGTTACCAAATTTCTACTCTGTAATGCACATTTTTTTAAATAATGTAAAAATTTATAATAAAAGCAATAATTTTCAGTATTATTCTCGAGTATTAATTCCCATATTGATGAAGAATTGTTTTTATTTCCCGACTTGTAGGGTCTATTAAAAAAAATCCAATGTTTTGCTTATGTTCCGGCTTATGTGGGAAGTACGGCACATCATTACTTTTTGCAATTACTTCCAACACGATTGTTGTAATGAACAAATTGTTTTCTTGTTTCTGAATTCTATAAATATTTCATTTTTTTAAATGAAAATTAACTTACAAAAAATAATTGCCGTTTACCTTACGAAATCTTTGTAGAGACTTTTGGTCAAGTCTAAATAATTATCCAGGTCATTTTCATATTGACAATACTCACCACCAATTACCAACAATTGAAACAATTTGAATATAAATTCATTGCGCTCGTCTTGAGTATAAAGATTGTACTCGTTAGATTCTTCATCCAATAACATCTAAAGTAATTAATTATTAAAACTTTTGTATTCTTAAAAAAAAAAAAATACTTACCGCTCGTAAATTATCCGACACTAAAATTCCATCAATAAAGTCATCAAATTTTTGCCGAATATTCCCTGTAGCATGAATAATATTGTTATCTGGATTTTTTAATTTGTCAAAAAAAGTCATGCTCATTATTGAACAAGGAATTTGTTTTATTTCAACTTCATCAGCTGACAAATTACCCTCTCTGAATTCATTGCCGCACCAAATTTTTAATTTTTCTGTCACATTAGAATCTTTGAAAAATGCCTAGAAATAAATGAAAATAATCGTTTAGCTTTTATTAAATTAATTCATTTTTTTTAATAATTAAATTACCTCAGCTAAATTATATTTATGATACAGATGAAACGTCTCATTGAATAGAAACTTTTGACAGCTCAAATTCATCCCCCTGATAGAAAAATTCTATTAAAGATGATTTAAAAAATGACACTGAAGTTGACAAACTTTAGAAGATTTTTTAGAATTTTATAGCAACAAAATTATTATTTAAAGAATTGGGAATATGTCATTGTCCCAGCTAATCAATATCCCAGTTGGTCATTGTCCCAGCTAATCAATGTCCCAGTTGGTCATTGTCCCAGCTAAGCAATGTCCCAGTTTTTCAATGTCCCAGTTTTTCATTGTCCCCACGAAAAAAAATTAAAAATCGAGCCATCTGATACCGAAAAATATCGAAAGAAATTTTGTACTTTCTGCTAACGGAAACATTATTCTCAACAGATGGCGTTAGCGTGCCGAAAAAATTTAAAGATATAAAAAAAAACTCTAGGTATTTTTCTCCATAGATTTTAAATGGAAAATAATTTCATTCAACTTTTAAATACACCTAGCATACACCAATACCCTTATGAGGTTCAATAAAGGAGTCCAGGTAGTTGCCTCCATAGGTTTTAGGTTTTGATTCAACCAATAAACTATTTAATGCGCCTAGAACACAGGAATACCCTTATCATATATAAAAGGTCAGTCCAGGTGGATGCCTCCATAGGTTTTAAGTTTTGATGCAACCAATGGACTGTTTAATGCACCTAGAACACGGGAATACCTTTATCATGTATAAAAGGTCAGTCCAGGTGGTTGCCTCCATAGGTTTTAGGTTTTGATTCAACCAATGGACTGTTTAATGCACCTAGAACACGGGAATACCTTTATCATATATGAAAGGTCAGTCCACGTGGTTGCCTCCATAGGTTTTAGGTTTTAATTCAACTAATGGTCTGTTTAATACATATGTAATAAATTAATTTATAGGAAGAAAGTTATAAGAACTTTTCTTATACGTTATGGGAATGGTTTCTGAAATGTTATAGGTCCCTAATAACATCAACATCTAACAAGTCTTTGTCAACATATGCCAAGATTCTTTGGCCCGAATTGAAGCAGACTAGAACAAGATGATATCTCAAGAATACTTGGCAATAATTGACTCAATATTTAGCCAGAATTCATCTTGATTTTTAAGCCAGAGACTTGCTTTAGTGAGCAAAAAATATGCTTATATCACTAACGCATACACTCTTTCCTGGTTCTTTGTAAGAATATACCATTTCAGAGTTTCTCAAGTTTGCCTCAACTCTCGAGAATCAGAACTTTTGCCTATGAAAATGCGTACATTAACCTTTCCAAAAATTATGGGAATAGTTCCTATAATAAAATGATCATTATAGGCATCAATCCTATGCTCATTATGGGAACCATTTACCCATAGTTTATTGTAAACGTTCCTATACAGTAATGGAATAGCTTCAATATATTATGGGAAGGGTTCCTATAATACTATAAGAACGGTCGCTATATTATTAAAGAAATGGTTCCTATAATATTATAGGAATGGTTCCTATTCTATTAAAGGAATGGTTCCTATAATATTATGGGAATGACGCACATAATAATAGAAAAATGTTTATGTTCATAATAATAAAGCAACCACTTCAATAAAATAAAGTAATTATTATATATTTTTTTGCTAATATATATATTTTTTTTTTTAATTAAAAATTTTTTTTTTTTTTTTTTATTTGTTTAAAGTCGCATAAACTACTAAGGTCATGAGCGACTACGGTAGGGGGTAAACTTTTGAGATTGGAACTCGTTTGTATTTCTTGGGCTGAGCAGAATAATATACTTAAATATTGAAAATATTCATTGGTGTACGCCGGATTCGAACCCGGTCCAATGCTTTGGTAGCAAGGGCCGGATCCGATAGGCTACTGCGCGCCTCTTTAATAAAAATTGATCTTTCACTAGAGTGAAAAAATTTCTTTTTCATAATTTTTATTCACGTGTGTACTTAATCTTTAATTATTTATTTCAACTCAGTTACTATTGTGTTACAAAATATTGAAAAATATCGTAGCAGTTCTAAAGTTTCTCTAATAAAAGGGACATTTTCTTACTATACAATTAAAGGAGCAAAATAGATATGGAAATTCATTGTTTATTTTTACAATTTTATGTAATTTTTAAAACAAATTATTAATTTACAATACATAAATTAAATATTTATTAAATCCACCTTTTGGGTATGTAACTTTTATTGTTTATATGAATAATATCACTTCTTTTAGATATTTCAAAATGTTATTGGGAAGCAAATAAAATTATCGAAATTACTAATAATTTCAAATGCTTTAAAGTGCTCATCGAAGTCACAAATAACTTGAGTTGTAATGATAAATATCTCAATATTATTAGGTATCGTCACTATAATATTATGGAAATGGTTCCTATAATATTATAGAAACTTTTCTTATATATTATGGGAACCATTCCTATATACGGCTGCCCAATTTTAAAACACACGTAACTGCAAAATTTTTATATCTGATTTTTTCTAGTATTGCTGCATTTTGTATAACTTTTAGATCTTAATTTTAAGTATTTTTTCTTAAAAATATTTATATTCAAGTATTCTCTATTCACAAATCAAATTTTTCATCAATTTCGCGGGCAAATTTTTTTTTTAATAAGAAAAATTGGAAAAAATTTTTAAATGTTAGTTAATGTGTTTTGAAATTGGGCAGCCGTATATTATGAGAGTCATGCCGATATCTCACTTATAATTATAGGAACCATTCCCATAATTATAGTAACATTTCCCAAAAATTATGGGTACAATTCCCATAATTTAAGTAATCGCTCCTAAAATGGTATAGGAAAACATTTCAT